TGCACCACTGGGCCAGACCCTCCAGTTTGATTTTAAGGTTTCTTCATGATCATGTGTGTTTGTTTTTCTGTTTTTGGTTTCAATCAATGCCAACGATCCGAAACAGTCATTGGACCATTCCAGGTCCAGCTGTATCACTTTTGGCAAGTTATTTAACACCCCTCATCTCAGTTTCTTCATGTATAAAGTGAGGGTAATCATAGTATTCTCCTCTGAGCGTGCTTCTGTTTATTTATTTCACAAATATTATTGCCTGTCCCAGAAGCACTGGGCACTGAGGATGCAGCAAATGCTGAATGTGTGTCCCTGTCCTGCTGGCTCATGGCTCAGGGAGGGAAACAAACAAGTGAGCAAAAGTAATTTTATATGTTGGGTGCTATGAAGGAAAATAGAGTGCTAGGGTGATGAGATTGGTTTGAAGGAAGGTCTCCATGAGGTGGAGACATTTAAATTGAAGAATGAAAAAAAAATTAGCCAGGCAAAGGCTGCATATTCCAGGCAGAGGGAGAAGCGTGTGCAAAGGCCCTGAGGTGCTAATGTCTTTGATCTTCAGTAGAAGGGCCTGAATCAGAATTGGAAGACAGTGATGTGGCCTGCTGGAGTAAACAGGCAATAGGTTGGTCCAGGTGGCACTAGTTTGTAGGTCAAGGGAAGCAGCTGGAGTTTTCCTGAGAAGCCACTGGAAGAATTTAACTTAGAACAAGACTTGATCTCATTTACATTTCCAAAAGAGCTCTTTGGCTGCTTGTGTGGAGGGGAGACAGGGGAAGAAGGAGTGGAAGCTCAAGCTTTCCTTGTAAGGATTAAATGAGATAATAAATATTTAGCATTTGGTGCAATACTTGACACATAACAGTTGCCCAGTTCCTGTGAGGGATTGTTATTAATAATTATTATCAATATTAATAACAATAATGCTTCAGTTTGGCATCATAATCTGACGGTATAAATTCAACATGTATACCTGAAAGTAAATACTCTCTGATTTCTGTCACTAAAAATGTCAAAAAAGAAAAAAAATTAGCTCAGGAGTTGGGAAGTGAGTTTATCGGCCCAGCTGGGGCTCAAATGTAAAGTTAATTTTGATTCCTAAACTATTTACCTTATTATTGTCCATATAGTTAGTTGCATGTGTTGAGTGCAAACTTTTTAATGAGCAAGTCTGTGAAAACTTTTCCACTAATTAAGTCAGAATACCACTGTATAAAAGAAAGTGCTTCTTGAAAATACTTCATTTTCCAGAAACCATAACATTGACTTCTGTGAGCTCTAGTTCTGACCCAAATGAGGATATCACGGAGAGAACGTGCTTGGAAAACTAACGTTATGTACTAACTTTCAAGCTTTGGGAAAGAGTCTTTGTTGGCTCCAGAAAATCAGAATGTGTGTGCTCCATTCTCCTTGCTCTCTGATGGGTTTTTAGCCCCTAATGACGTCTCCTTAAGCTTTAGGCTGTAGGACAGAGCTCCAAAATGCTGAGTAACTGTGTGCCCTCTCCTGGGCCTCTCTAAGCCTCTTTTCTCATCTGTCACATGGTCGTAGTAAGACTGCCCTCCTTTTAAGGTGTAGTAAGAGTGCCCTCCTTTTAAGGCTGTGAAGATTGATGGAGAGAATTCCATAGTGTCTGACACATAAAAAGAGCTCAACAATTAACTGTTAAGGTTATTGTTACTTTTTGAAGACCAAAGTACCTACTCTCCTTTATTTGACCCATTTAATTCCAGATGAAAAAGGATAGTCCGGTATTCCACGTAGAACTGCTTTGGTCATCAGAAAACTTTAGTGTGATGACCTTTGACATTTTATCTATGACCCTAATTTGACCCTTGAGCTAGGATGAGACTTGGAAAAGATCCCCGGACACTGGCTCCAGCTGTGAAATCTAAAGTCACAGACTCACAGCTCTGGGAGAGGTGGCTCTCCAAACGTTGCTGGAAATTACAGTTCTAATCTAGAGTTTGATAAGCCAAGGGGTCTAGGGTTTCAATTGCGTCCGTCCTCTGCTCTTCTAACGGGCGGTAATTATCTTTGTAATGCTCTAATGCTAAATAATGGTGCTGCTAATGCACGCTGCATCTTCGCGCACAGGTGCCAGCTGTTCCCTCGCCGGGCAGCTGACCGTGTTGCGCACACTTAGGCGCGTTCGCGGGGCCCAGCCTCTGCCCACACAAACAAAACAAAGACCGCCCGGCCTTCCTACCGAGCCACCCGCCCTTCCCCCTCCGCCTGAAGGAGGCCCTTCTCGCTCCCTCCCAGCCCTCTCTCCCCCCTCCGCCCCTCCCTCGCCCCTTCCCCTCACTGCCCTCCCTCCCACTGGTGGTTTCTTCCTGCAACAGAAATCCAGGAAACCACCCCCCACATTTCCTCTACCCACAATTTTCTCCAGGGCCTGACTCACACACAATTCAGCTCGATTTGGAGTTCCCTTTTCTCTGCCCCATGAGAAACCCCGACTCTCCCATTCATTTCTGGGAGGACCGGCTTGCCAGATAAGGTTGCTTAAAATTTCTGTCTCATAATTGACCTTTCATCATTAAAAAAAAAAAAAAAAGGCATATTGAAGACAAATTACCAAAGAACAAACGTGAGGCTGTTGGCTTTTCACACACATACACACACACACACACAAACACACAAAGACCCTTACACATCCGTCCATAGAGCCGCCTTCAGCAGACAACATCTGCAAGATGACTCGTTTTCTCGGTAACTTTAATCTCGTAATTCATTGTTTCTGTGGTGCCAGTTACAGTAGCTAAAAGGGCGGAACAGCAGGCCAATTTGGCACACAAACAAATTTAAATGTGAACCGGGGGTTTGCCCACCTTATGATGAGTGGTTGACTTGCTGCCAAAAAACAAAACAAAATCAAAACAATAGATGGGCTTGCTGAGGGTTGGGGGACAAGAGTTGCAGTTTCTCAACAGGGTGGGGGCTCCTGTAAGCTTGACAGCACGAAGAATACCAGGGGGTCACAGCACATCTGCTCCGGAGGAAAGACAAAGGGCCAGGTGGGGCTGCCGTGGCCTGCGGGGCCGAGCGGGGCGCAGGGTGCAGGGCGCGGGCGCGGGGGCCGTGGCTCCGCGCGCCCGCCGCAGCCCCCCCGCCCAGTTTAACCTTGACTTCTCCCTCCCCGCATCTGGCGCGGGAGGGAAGCCGGTCCAGATGGGCGTCCGGAGTGTGACGACGCCCCGCCGTACCCCCGCGCGCTCGCTCAGATGGCGCACGCTGCTCGGGGGCCACGACACTCCGCCCACGAAGGCCGCAGACCCTGTGCGCCCGGGGGTGGCGGGTGCCACCCGCATCTCTCCCGCGCGCCCCTGGTGTCCCCCGGCCCCGCCCCGCTCGGATCGGAGAGCTGAGCCCGGCGCTGGGTGCTCCTCGGGGGTCCCCGGAAACAATGGCGAGGCTGTGCTCGGCCGGCTGGGGGGGCGCGGGCCCCGCCGCTGGAGCGCCCCGCAGTGCCGAACTCGGGGCTGTCCCAGGGCCGAGGCCAGGGCGGGCGGAGTCATCCGAGGCCCCGGCGACCCGCGCTCCCGGACAACCGTGTCGCCCGCGCCGGGCAAGTCCATGGAGACAGACCACGCAGTGACAGGCCGGAGGCGGCTCGGGGGATCCATAATTTATGATGTTGTTCTTACCAATCCGGTTTGGGATTTCACAAGCGTTCCCAGCTTCCTTCCCATTTGTTGCTTCCATCCGTCCTTTTGGAGCAAACTTCACTTCCCCTCCCCGAGAATGTAGCAGTTACCTTAGTGAATTAATGTGATAAGAGAAAAAAAAGGTGGGTTTCTACTTGAGGGATTGCCTGAGAGGGGCGAAGGGAACACAGGTGCTGCGGCGGGCCTGAAAGATGGATTGCTTAGTCCACTGTGTACCTTCGACGAATTTTAGCCGAACTGCAGAAAAAAACAACCCTATTTCCAGAGAGCTGGGGTAGAGGCCTTGTGCGGACAGGTAGTGAGCACAGAACGTCCTTGGTCACTACCACCAATCATTTTCCTCATTTATAAATAAACCTCTTGGTCCTAAGTTATTTTTTTTTTTAGCCTCGCAGGCCCGCAAAAATGATGACTAGCATAGCGGGAAGGGAAGGGGTTAATGGCCCCTCCACGCAGCGCCTGATCCGGACCCAGCCGGCAGCCGCCTGCATTGCTTGCTGCCCGGCAGACCTCAGGTGCTCCTAACTTAGGATACAGGAGACTCCCGTTGGCCAAGGATGCTCCTGTCCCGAAGATTCCTTACATTGCTGTAGTGACTGGGGAAAGATTTATGGATTTTTATCAAGTTTTAGTGCAATAAATAAGGGAAAGACACAACAAAGGACCCCACACTAAGCTGGGGGAAGTTTTCTTTCTTGTTACCTTCCCCCCCCCCTTTTTTTTTTCTTGAAAAGGAGTTTATTCTAGGCCCCTTCTTTTTCTCTTTCGGACTCAGTGTTGCTAAATGGAATTCAGACCAGAGAGCAACTGTGGCAAATGCTTGCTGAGGCTGGAGCCCTTAAGGACTTGAATGAAAAAAGGTTGGAAGTGGTCAGATCCATTCCGATTGCTCCCAGCGGCCGGAGGCCCCAGGCCCAGGGCTGCTCCCCTTCCATCTGGGCTGAGAAGGGAATGGGCCTGGGAAGATCTTGGAGCTCCAGAGCCAGTAGCTCCTGCAGATGGCTGGGTCATTTTGTGGTTTACAAATGACCAAGTCAGGTTGAAGCCACAGTTGCTGTGGTTACAGGCAACCGTGATTAGTCACACAGTTAGTGACCCAGTTATGGCACACCCTCTTTTAAAAGGACATTATTCACTATCTTGGTAGCTTGATTTCAGAAATGTTCCATGTACACAAGGAAAACGAAGACTGCAGGGGGCAGAGGACGGAAATGTAGGGCGTGTATGCACGTATGCCAGGAGTTTGGTTTTCTGAAAAGGAGCAAATCCAGGGTGTGACTTTTGAGGCAAGTAGAAGTTCACTGAACGTTGACTAGAGACTGCTTTCCAAGTTCAGGTATGGCTGTTTCTGAAGGCAGTCTGGGTGGGGAAAGCAAAGCAGCCCCCAGGGACCCCGTGAGCTTTGACTTGGCTTGTATATTCGCGGCCATCTGTAAAATGAAAGTGGGGAGGCAGGAAGGGGAAGAAGAACCCTACCTAGGAGGCTCGTGTGGGTTTTTACTTTTTAAAAATAGCATTTCTTTTTACCACAATGGCACAGGAACTTGTAAACATGAATCCCCAGCAATAGTAAACAAATTAGTCTAGGTTCTTTTATCTGAGAAGTAAGTACAGCATGTGTCTGTTTCTCCGTCTCTTCTCTCTCCCTCTCTTTTTCAAGAGAAACATGCAAAACGCAAAATTCCCCCTCCTCTTAAAGGCTTCTTTGCTGGTGAGTGTTTGTTCCTAGCAACAAATAGTCTTTTATTCGAATGGTCTCCAAAAGTTCATAAGCGAAAAAAGTGTCCAACGTCTGGTTACCCACAATACAGTCTCTGGCCGCATAGTGAAGCTTTTCTGTCCTGAATTTGTGATCTGCTATCAGAGTCCTTTAATTTCTCTGAACAGAAGGCTCTTTGGGAGAAGAAAGCTTGGGGGTGGGGAGCAACGTTGGAATCCGTCTTTTTTCCCCCCCTTTTGCTGTTTTCTTCCAGTCAGCAAGTAGTGCTGGAAATCTTCTGATCTTTCCCAGCATCTTGTCGAGGTGAGAGCCAGGGAAGGGTTAACCGAGGCCGTGGGCAGGTTTCCCCGCTGGCCTATTTCACAGGGGAGGAGCAGCTGGCCGGGCACCACCTAGGAACTGTTCATAAAAAGGAGACGCCCTACTCCTGATGCCCTTTATCTCCTTTGGAGATTTTCCTTTTACAGCGTGTTTTGTACAATCTTCAGTTATGACCGTCTTTTGAAAGTCCTAGGTTCCCTTTAACCATTGGGAGTTTACAGATGTTCCCAACATCCCAAATGTAGTAGCTGGTGAGATGAAAGGAACGAAGCAAAGGATGAGGGGGAGGATGGACCATCATTTTGAAAGATGAAGGACAAAAATAATTATTTGTAACTGAATTTTAATCACTTACAAACAAATCTTTTTCTAACATTCGGTCATTTTTCGTGGGTTGAAGCTTCAATTCGAATGAATTCAATTTGACATACTTTTACTGAGCAAACTAAATAAAAGCCTGGTGCTTTCCTAGGTGTCAAGGATGCTGAAGAGAGCAAGACACCCAAGGCCAGGCTCTGGTGGACCTGATATCTGAGCTAATAAGTAATTCTTGAAATAACTTTTGGATAGGGGGTAAGTGCTTTGAAAATAATAAAACAGGACAGAGAGAAGGCCTCTCTGAGGAGCTGATAGTTGAGCTGAGATCTAGAAACAAAGGGAGGCAGCTATGGTGCCACTAGGGAGAAGCAGTGCGGCCAGAGAGACTCCTGAAGGCCTGCAGCTGGGATGAGCCCCTTGAGTTGCAGAGACAGGAAGAAGGCCCGTGCCACAGGCTGGAGAGAAGTAGGGTGGAGAGGAGGCTCAGGGTCCCTTCACTTTCAGATTCTTCCGTGCTTCCCAGAGTTGGCAATCTCCACAGCTCCGGGGGTGCTGTCCTAGCTTACAGCTTGCCTGCAGACAGCATCTGCCCTGATTCACTTCCACATGCAAACCAGCAAAGCAGCCGAGGGGTCAGACGCTGTCCCCTTTATCTGCCAATCTTCTTTGCCTTGACTTGAAAGCCAGCAATATTGATTAAAAGCAGAAGACACAGCTATTGTAGAGCAAAGAAAAAAAACAATGTCTAAGATGGGGGAGGAAGGGGTAGAGGTGTGTCTTGTGGAGTTGGACAACTGGTGGGGTTGGGTTGGGTAGTTCCGTAGGTTACATAGTTACATCGTTACATGGGTTATATAGCAAGACCAACATTTCCCCTAGGTGCCTGCCAGAAGCAATCCCCGCCGACCTGGGTGTGGCCTTCCTTTCTCCTGGGGCCTGACCTCCAGTCACCCAGATCTGCTTCAGATTTCTTCAGAAGGCCTGGGGCATCCCTCTCTCTCCCTCTCTCTGGTCTGTCCCAGCATCCAGGACGGGAGTTGGCAAATTTGGTTCTTCTGCCCCATAAAAGCGTGAAGTCACCTGTGAGCGCCCTGGGAAGGCAGCCCCTCTCTCTCCTCCCTTTCCTGCTTTTCTCTTCCCCAGATCTTGAGTTTTGATGGGCAAGGGTTTTCCAGTTCTTGACTAGAATATGAGGGTGAGAAAGAAATGAAGGAATATTAAATGATGCAACAAGAAGCAAATAACTAGACCTACAACTAGAATATGCAACTGTGTACTGGGGGGATTGGGACAGAAGAAGGAGAAAAAAAGATTGGCAACAGATGATAGCTCAGATGCCAATCTTAAAAAAAAAAAAAAAAGAACTAGGGACGTGGAGGTGGGGGGTGGGAGGACTCCTCTGACTTTATTCCCAGGTCTCTAAGCTTGGGAAGGAGTACTCTTTTCACCTGTAAGCAAACTCCTGCGCTCCTACAATTGACTTTTTCTGGCATACTATTTTTTATGGTCACCTCCCTCCCCTGCAGCTGTTGGCCTCAGGTGAGCCCCCCCCCCCGACCCCCCCACCCCCGCGGGGTCTCTAAATCGGCTGGGCTGCCTGCGCTCCACTCCTCTCAGGGCCTCTGCCTCCTGCCTGGGCTGCACGGAGTTTTGCCAGAGGGGCTCTGGGAAGTGGTGAGCTGGTCTCCATCTCTGCACTGTCAGCTCTCCCTGGCTCCTTGGCTGTTGGAAAGCATCCAGAATAGCAACCCTGGGGCTTTGTTTCCAGTCCGGCAGGGGAGAAGCTCCAGGGACGCCTCCCTTACTCAGGCCCAGGCAGAGGCAGCAGCCGAACAGAAGCAGGAATGGAGTTGCAAGGCCTGGGGCTCCTTCTCTCACCTCTCTGACTCTCTGCCTCTCCTTGCCTCCTAATCAGAAGGGTATCCAGGCTTCCCATCTCTTTCAACTTCAATTCTCATCCAGAATAGAGACCTCCATTTTGTTTTGTTAAGCTACCCAGGGTCACGGAACACTGAGACATCCCCTGTTCCACATTCTCTTCATCTCACAAGATCCAGCTCTGGGTTCCAGGACAACGGTTTGAATACCAGCTCTGCCTTTTACTGGCCATACGGCCTTGATAAGTTGTACGATTTCGCAGAGTCTCAGCTCATTTGTAAAATGAGGATAATAATAGCACCCCTCTCATAGAGTTGCTGCGAGAATTAACTGAGATCACTGATGAAGAGTTCCTCGAAACACACCTAGCGCGTGGTAGGGGCTCAGATAACATGATCAGCATCAAATACTGCAAACCGTCTCCTTCTTAAACTCCCTCCTCCCTTGGCTTTGTAACCTCACACGATGTTCTTGATTACCTCTGATTTCTGCCTTCTCTCTCTCCTTGAAGTGCTTCTCTCGGTCTTCTCTGGTCTTCTTGGTTTAACTGGGGGAGTTTCTGTTGGCACTGTATTTGGCTCGCATTGTAGCATCTCCCTCCTCCGTCTGGAACTATTGACTCAACATGGATCACCTCCAGATTGTCACCGCAGCCCTCACCTCTCTGCGGCTGACTTCTTGCGACTCTAAGTTCCACTTGGACTTCTCATGCCATCACAAACCCAATCTGTCTAAAAACCAAATTACTATTTTCCCTCTAAATCAGAAATCATCTTCCAACATCCAAATGTGTGACTCCATTCTGGAAGACACGCTGGTTCCATCTTCCCCTGAATACCCTTCCTCCCAGCCACTTTCTCCATCTTCTGAGACTCTGGGTCCAAAGCATCTTCATTCACAGCGTCTCCCTCTTAGAACCTCTTATTTCCTTTCTAAGACCATCATGCATGTCTAGTTCCTGAGCATTTTGTGCCTGTTACGTCCTCATCGCTACCTAACCTGCCCCCCAAGTCCAAGTTCTCCTCTCATCTGGGCTGTGATAGACTGATTGGCCCCCATAGGCAGCCTGTGGGAGAGGGAGAACAGTCTGGTCTCTTCTATTAGTCATCTCTGTGCAAGAACTTGGTTTCCTCATCTCAGTGATATGCTCCTGCACGTGTCTAGTAGAGACACTTGGCTTATGTCCACCTTAAGTTTGATGTTAGGAGGAGGGACTTCTGGAAAGTTCTGTAAGATTGATTTGTATGAAGACCCAAGAGGTTCCTGGGGAAGGACTCACCCTAAAGGCAAGGAGAGCTAAAATGTAATCAGAGTAGTGAGACTATAAGCTACTGGTCTTGTGCAAAAAGGGAGGGAAAATTTCAGGTGTGCTAATAATGGTAACAGTAAATATTATTATTAATGTTGTTCTCTGGCCTCATTTCCCACCTTCCCTTTTAGGGTCTTGTACCAGATTCTAAAAGAGTGTAAGCTATAAGAAAAAGGAGTAGAAGAGCTGGTTCGCTAGAACATCTCAGTGTTGTTCTGAGCACGTGCATTCATTCCTCCAGTACTTCCCAAGCATGCCCTGTAGGCTCTGCATGGGCGACACGCCTGCATGGAGTTTACAGTCAAGCAGAGAAGACAGAGGATACAAACAAGTAATGACCATGAAGGTCGGCACATGCTATGGGTGGGCAGGTCCAGAAGGTCACAGGACCTCATATTAGGGACACTTAACCTTAAGCTTGGAGTCAGATGAAGCTTTGTGGAGGACATGGAATCTAGACAAAGGAAGAGAGGAGGAGATAGCCAGGTAGAGGAAGAGTTCCACACGGAGGGCAACAGGGTACACAAAAGTCCTTCAGTCAGAGAAGCACGGCATTTTTGAGGAACTGAAAGAGGTTCAGCCTGGGCAGAGCGTGGGCAGGATGCTGAGAGATGAGACTGGAGAGGGTACAACGAACAGGGCATTATAGACAGTGCACGTAAGTTTTGATTTTACCCTAAAAGGCAAAGGAAAGCCATGGGAGGGTTTTAAATGCTGGTGTGTGTGTGTGTGTGTGTGTGTGAGTGTGTGTGTGTGTAACGATCAATCTTGAGTATTAGAAGGGTATTGGAGAGGAGCAAGACAGGCAGGGAATCCAGGTAGGAGGTTGCGACGTATCCCAGAGGCGAGGTGGTGGAGCCTGGACTGGGACAGTGGAGGGGCAGAGAAATGGATGGATTAAAGGAATATTTGAGAGGACTTGTAATAGGTTGGATATGGGAGGCAAAAGAGAGGGGAAGGTTGAGGATAAGTCCCAGGTTTCTTGACTCGAACAAGTCTTGAACAACTGGGAGGATATGAGTGACATCTGCTGAGTTTGGGAACACTTGGGGAAGTGTGGAGGGGAGGGGGGCGGTTTGCATTTGTGGCTGTTGTGTTTGAGGCTCCTGAGAGACATCCAAATGGATGAGCTTGGGAATCCTGGTTATCAGTGGCATGGCTAGGAGAGACTTGAGAAAATCATTCAGATAAATTGTGTGTTTATTTCTGCTGCAGTCTGAGATCTTTAGGTTGTCAGGAAAGAAACTCACTCAAACTAGCTCAAATAAAATGTGGAATTGGTGGGATACAGAGCTTCATGGGGCCTGTTGCTCACAGGAGAGCTGTGAGGACGGGAACAGCTTTTCTGGACTATACAGGGCAATGTGACTACTCATTCCTTCATTTCTGCTTCACTCCCCTCTGGGTAGAGCAGTCTTCTCTGCTCATCCCTGAGGCCTCCTTCCTCCATATCTTTGCTCTCTACAGAGCTGACTCCTGCTTTTGTCCCCCAACAGACCTAACATCTGAGTTGAAAAGCTTATTATGGACTTCATCACAATGTGTATATCTCTTTATTCAAATTCTTGAGAAGAGTGGATCTGATTGGCACTAAGAAGTTAATGGTATGCCAGCTTTGGGTCAGGTGATCATCCTTGGTCCAAGCAGTGAGAGCAATGTGTATGTGTGAATGTATATATATGTATGCATGCATGTATGTACATGTGTGTATATGTATGCATGTGTGTGTGTGCGTGCATGTATGTACGTGTGTGTGTGTGTGTGTGTGGAGGCAATTTTGTGTGAGGGGAGTGGTCAGGCCAGTTGTAGTGTTGAGTATAGAGCTGTTGGTCAGACAGAATATTGATACGTTCTTTATTTTCTTGTCTAACCTGTTAAATGTTAATTGCGCTGCTACTGTCTCTTCCGTGTGGCAGGAGGAAAGAGCATGGACAGACAAATGAGCCTGAATACCCCTTTCCCAGGACGATCGTGGGGCGTTCACTCTCAGAGCTTCAGTTTCTTACTCTGTAAAATCAGCGATACTCTCTACTTCCTCAGGAGAGAGAATGAAATGAGAGAGCACGGTGAAATGCTTGGTAAATGGCAGGAGGCACTCAGCGACCGTTCCTTCCCTCCCTTTCCTTCTCCTTTATGCTTGTTCAAGTCACTCCTTTCCCAGAAAACAGGAATTCTGCTTGTCACTTTTTTATAGTGATTCCTCTGCATGACTATTAACAAATGTTTACAGAACGATCATATATTTTACTCCATTAAAATGTAGTTGTAACCATTCAATAACATTTTTGGAAAATTGAGATGAGGAAAAATTGTCTACCCATAATTCTGCCATCTAAATAAAAACACGTAAGCTACTTGATTTATTTTTTTTCATTTTTTCCTAGGCATTTTTTTTGTTTTTACATAAATATAACCATAATTTACACACAATAAATCGCAGTGTTTTAAGATGTTTCAACATAAATTATTTGCAGAATGAAAAACATATACTTTAAAAGCATTTAATTTTCATAAATCTAGAATATTGATCGGCATCTTCCTTTAATTTCCTCTGTTTTGTCCAGAACGTCTCGCAATGGGGCAGAGTTCAGTTAGAACCGTATTTAATTCTACCAAATTACAAACATATTCCAGGCAAGAGCTGTGTGCATTCAAGGCTCTTTGATACATTAGATTTAATGCAGGGCCAATGAGGCCAAGCCGTAAGTTTCATCCTCACATGAGCCAATTAGCCTTACTAACTACCACAGCCACCCATTTCACCCCAATCTTGGTCTCCCACCTTGCAAATGAAGGGCAGGGGTCACCAGGGAGAATGAAAGCGAACATGAAGAGTTCAATGCAAATCCATTACCAAGACTAGACAGCCAACTTAAAGGCTTCATCTTTGAACCATTAGGTGAACTTGGGGGGAGGAGCCTTAATAGGCACAATTAGAATATTTCATGTTGAACAATGGTTGAATTCTAGAATGAAAGTTCCGGATCCAGCTAGAACAAAACTAGTCCAGATCCAGCTTTTTTCAAGGATGGTACATGAGAAAAGTCTCTCTAGCTTCAAATGGAATAGGAGTCAGCAGCTTCAAACAATGATGGAAACTAGAAAATTCCTTCCGCAGGCTTTTTTTTTTTTTTTTTTCAATTAATACCACCCGCTGGTCTGAGTGAGTAATTCTGAGAGAAGCAGAGTGTAGTTGCTGATTGTGCTATGACTTGAATGAACCTTGGAGAAGATCCCGGAAGGTACCTGTGAAAAATTGGAGAGATTCAAAAATATGCCCATGAACCTGTTTACCTGAGGTCAGCTCAGAGAAGACACACAAATTTCAAAAATTCTGTTTGAGAAAAATGCATCATGCTATTGGGGAAATTTCTACCGGGACACTAAACGTCTGAGCACCTGCTCTGAGCTTCGCCAGTCTCAGCTCCACCATGATGCACTTTCTGTGCCCTGACCGGCTTTCTTTTCGAGATGACTCAAACACACACCCACCCACCCCTTCCTGCAGCTCCATGGAGAAGATGTAAGCTGCTGAGAAATTCCTATGTGGGCTCTGGTGACCTCTTCCACCCCAGGGACAGGAGTTGGCACCATGTTGATGTTACACCTCACCCTTCGTGTTTCAATGCTAAGCCTGGAGAAGGCAGGGACCTTAGTTCTTCTGTAGGGTGGCACATCCGCCATGCAGGTTTAGCTGTACGTTCGGGGAGAAAATTTGTACCACCAAAGGTCTCGCGCTGCTTTTGTAGCATCTGGATTGTTTCCCTCCAAAGTCTTCCCTTCTCCTCTTTGGAAGACCAACCACACAATTCTGGCTAAGAGCTCATGTTTGAGGCCCTGTCGACTTGCTGCTTGATACTGTTCTTGCTCGTTACCACATTGGTGGCATCAAATGTCCTTATTGATTTTTTTCTGATTGGTCCACCCTAGAACAGGCTCAGCTTCATAAATGGGACATCTTGTGGTCTGAAACATGAGATTAGTTTTAACAAACCACTCTTAACCATGCTCTCTCCCAGGGAACCAAGGGAAAGCAATTGCTGAATTTCTTTCTGGCTGTCTCTCTGTGACCCTTCTCACTCCTGCTCACGCCCTGCTTTCCCTCCTGCCTCGTCCTCCCACCGCTTACAAACAAAACGCTGCAAACAATACTCACTGAACTCTCAAATCATTCCCTGGGCCCCTGAACCAGACAGAACTGAATCGTTCTGGCCTCTGCTGAGTGAGTGGAGGATGTTGAAAAAAAGTACCATTGTGCTAGTTAAGGAAGGGGTCAGAGAACCGAAAAGACTACAGCTGGATTAAAGGGCTTCTGGGCTGGAATTCTCCTTTTTAGCTATCCAGAGGCATAAATTAAGGACTGCAAACTTTAAGATATGGCAAATGAACAGAATGCTAGGGGGTTTTGCTGCTGTTGTTTTGTTTTTAAGTGAAATTGCCCTATCTTCCAGGAATTTCAACAAGAAGCTTACATATTTTTCATGTCAGTTGTATTTCCCCGCCACCTTTGTTTTCCAGCCTGCCTCCCCTTAACAGCTGGACACATCACCATTCCATTTTTCTATTGGTTGTGACTGAAGTAGCTTGAGGTCAATTATTTCCCCAGCAATTGACAAAGAATCTTGACGAAGAGGAAAGTGACATTGTCCCTTAAACAACCCGGCTCCCTCCTCCCTCTGCCCTCCCCGTTGAGAGCAGGGCAGACTTTCCTTTTGCAAGGAGCCCAGCAGGGCAGAGGCGTGGGGTCTGTGGAAGTGCGTGGGGAACATATGGCAAGTGGAGACAATATTTATATTCATGGGGAAAGAGCAGTAGAAGATCCAAAGAAGGTCATTCCACAGAGATTTCAAGCAGGAGACACGCGGCCTTGATATTTTGTCTTTGGCCGGGATACAGCAGAGAATTTAAAGAAAGAGTTTTTGTTTTGTTGCTTTCTCTGCCACCTTCGCTCCTCTTAACAATTTTAATTGTTGGCAATTCGAAAAAGGGACTATCCCTCCCCCTAAGTTCCATGAAAGTACCACACTGGCCGGTCTCACCAGCTCCCACCGCCTCCCCTCCCCTGCCTCTGTCCCCAAGACCAAGAATTGAAAGCTGCCCTCTCTGGTTGCTCGTGCCTTGCGCCTGTGGCCTTTCTCCCCTTGTTCTTTTGACTGGGAGACCGGGTAACGAGCGCACAGGCGAAGTGGGCATTTGGGGCAACTGGTTCTTGGGGGAAGATATCAGTAATTAATCGGTCTTAGACTACTCTGTGATGAGCCACATGAAACCGCCGGTGACTTCTGCAGGGCTTGCCAGGCGGCATTTTGCATCACGCCTTCCTAAGCAAGGTAAAGGGCCCTCTTCTAGACCCCCAGTGGAAACCGCGCGCGGGCCCGCAGCGCCGCAGTCAAACGCGCGCGGGAGCGAGCGTCTGCCGTCTGGGCGCCTCAGGCTGCGGCGCACGCGCTCCCTCCGACAGACAGACACGCAGACCGGCGGACACATGTGCACATCCTCCCGCGTGGCCGCGCGCCCGTGCTCGGCCTGGCCCCGGCGGGGACGTGCGGGCTCCCTTGCAGGGGGAGGCGAGGAAAGCGAAGGGGGAGGGGCGGTTCCCATCTGGCCGCCGTCGGAAGTCGACGCCTCCCGCCTGGGGCGCGCAGGAAGACGCGGCCGCAAGGGCAGGGAGGTGTGAAGCGGCGGCTCTGGAGGGCACCCCCAAAGCGGCAGAGCTCTGGGGCGCTGCTATTTTAACTCCGGTTTGGTTCGGGGGCGTCATATTCTGCACTCCTCCAGATTTCCGTTCCCGAGGGGGAGGTAGATAGGGTACGGGTGCGCCTGGGTCCTCACGCGGGAGGGGTCCCCCAGGGTCCCCTAGTGAAGCAGCCCTAAACGAGCTCCCCGCTGCACGGAGGCCACACTTAATGGACTCTTGCAGATAAAAGAGCCGGGCTACCTTTCTTTCCTATAATGGCCCCTGAGGCTAACGTCTTAAAGAGGAAACAAAGGGATTGTTTTACAACACACGCGGGGGAGGGGAAGTGGCCCCTGTTTCTTAACTCTTCCCCTCCCGCGGCCGCTGGGCGCCCCGAGCCTCGCACGCGCCCCCACGGGCAGGAGCGCGGGGAGGAGACGGAGGGGCTGGAGGGGCCGCCCCGGACCCGGCCTCTGGATCAGGGGACCCAGGATTTCGAGCTGCAGTTTTGAAAGTTAAACCGGGGGGCACGTTTCTCGCGAGCCTGGGTGACCCCCACAGGATGCATGCGTGGCAGTGAGGTCAGGGCCCGGGCTCTGCGCCGAGGCCCCCGGTGGGGACCCCGGGAAGGCCTCTCCGAAAAGCGGCCTGCGCCTCGCCGGGGGTCTACCCCGGGGCCACTTTGCGGACACACTTCTTCAGGTATGAGTGGCCTGTATGCCGGCTGGCAGGGCAACTCTTACAGGAAGTTTACGTTTGAAACTGCGGAGGGAGAGAGTCCTAGTCGCATCTGCTTCCTGGCTTTTTGTTCTGGCTCCAGGAAAAGATCAAACAATAGTTAAATAGCAATTGAAGACAAGTGATGTAAGAAATAAACAACTCAACAACAAAAATGCCCATAGGGATGGTTTTTAAAACCCTTTATTGTGGAAATAGTCGCACAAACACTCAAGGAGAGAAAATGCTATCATGGAGTGGCTCCTAAATTTGAGCAAGCATCGGAAACACGGAGCAGAATCCTCTTGGGGGCTTATTCAGACGCAGATTGCCGGGCCCCACCCCAGAGTTTATTTAGTGAATCTGGGGTCTCCTGCTCCAACCTGAGAATTTGCAACTTGGTAGAGTTCCCACATACTGCTGTTCCTGGTCTGGAAAGGGCACTATGAGATCCACTCGCATAATAAATCCCTTTGTGACCCTCACCCAGCTTCAATATGTGTAGCGTTTTACCCACAGTGTTTCTTTTATCCCCTCCTCCAACTATTTGGTTTGCTGGAGACTTTTAAGGCAAATCCCAACATCATGCCATTTCACCCATATGGATGATTTTTAATTCAGTAGTTAGTTAAGCCAAGAGGACTAAACGCTGTGAGAGTTACTGGAAAAGCCTTCATATGTTTCCAAGAAGTTCAGCCTCCCTTCTGGTCCTTTCACCCTGGTGCCAAGTCCAGAGCCATTCTCTGTAAAAACCACACCTGCATCTTGGTTCTGAGACCACCCTTCAGGAGTTCCTCACCAGAGGAGCCTGTCAGATTCCTGGAACGCTGCTGGATTTTCCAGCAGGCTGTCCTGGCCTAGGGCACCACCTGATCCCCACTCTCAACTTTGGGTCATTATCTGGTCATCTTGTACTCCCATGACCATCCTTTGCTCTCAAGTGTTTCCTTAACAAAGTATCTTCC